CCGCCCCTTTTCGCCCGCCCCGACTGGGCCACCGAACAGTTCCGCGGGCGGCTTGCCCTCCGCTTCGTTGTCGCCTCGCCGAATCGCCGCAGCGGCCTCCGACGGCGCCGTTTCTCCGTCGGCCGCGGCGCGTTCGCTCATCGAGCGGGCTTGGGAGCTGCGCGCGGGCGCTGGGGCGTCGGGCCGCTGGCGGACACGAGCGGGCTCTGGAGGAGCAGGGGCAGGATGGCGATGACGATGACAACGAATATGATGACGACGACGATGGCGACGACGGCGGCGGCGACGCCGACGAAAACGACTGAAATATGAAACCTATGAGGGCGTCAGCAGCAGCAGCAGCAACGGTGGCAGCTCAGGGCCAGTCAGCACGGCACCTGAGGAGCCCAAGGCCCCCGTCATCCACGGCCTGACTGCCGCAAGGAGCTGGTGACGCCCCTAGCAGTGCCCGTCCCCCTCCCATGACATCCGACGAGCGCGCGCTTAGGTTATAGTCACAACTGCGCCACGGCCGCTTTCGCGACCACCGCCACTCTCGCTACCGCTACCTCCGCCATGACCTCCATGGCCACGACCAGGATTACCAATGTTTCCACCGCCATGATCGGTGTGACGAACCTCGCGGGTCAATCTTGGGTGTGGAAGGGGGGTGCGATCACGATTACCCTGCTTCCAGCGGCATGAGTGCACATGCATGTAGCTCCGTATGTGCGGCACGGGTGTCGTTAGGTGCTGTCCGCCTTGGTCCTTGCGCTGAGTGTCGGAGACATTTTGGACGTTTGTTGGGGTCGTGCGGGCGGACTCCAGGGAGGTGGTTGGAGACATCGGCGGTACCATATGAAGGGGGACAGACTGTGTTGAAGCTTGTACGTGATTCTCTCGGGTCACTGGGGGGGGCCTCCTGGCGGCCTCTTGGCGGTCTCTTCGGGGGCATCGGGTGGACCTCTTGGGTTGTGGATGCCACGACAGTGGACACCCTAACAGTCCTATCATTGAATTAACTATGTCTTGGAAAATGTAGGAAACGTGTTCTAAAAATGATTAGAAACCTGTCGTTACACGTTTGTGGCATGTTCAACACATGTTTTAAGCATCTGAAAGTTGTTGGGCAACATGTCTCCTCTCCAGTGACCGTCCTCCACAACTCTCGGGCTTGCGGGGGGCCAGCTGGAGCGGAATGGTCGGGTTCGGGGTTCGCGCGCACTCCCCTGGGCCTCCCGTCTGGGGGCCGCCCGTCCCTGGCTTCGATCGAGCCGCCTGCGGCGCCTCTTCAGGCTCTTCATGCAGAGGAGGCCCGACCACAAGAAACCTGCCACAAGAAACCGAACCCTGAGACCCCAGGACGTCCATGGATTCTTGGCGTGGGAGCGTCGCGCTCGTCATCGCAAAACCATCGAAACCCAAGAAGCCCAGGGCACCCTGGAGGCAAGCAGGGTGCTTCTTGGCACGGGCCCCCACTGCAACGCAAATTCTCGGAAGTCCGCGCGGAATTCCGCCTTCGTGGCTGGGCCCCCCTCCATGGCGCGAGAAGCGCACCGAAGGCGGCGCCGGGCCGCCGCCAGGAAGGGGGCCCGGCCGGGACCCAAGAACTCCGCGCGGACCCCCAAACGATGTTGTTTGTGTCCTCCTCCTCCTCCTCCTCCTCCTCCTCCTCCTCTTCCTCCTCCTCCTCCCGCTCCTCCTCCTCCTCCTCCTCCTCCTCCTCCTCCTCCTCCTCCTCCTCCTCCTCCTCCTCCTCCTCCTGCGTGCGGGGTCGGTGGCGGGCGGCCGAGGCGGGCTGCCCTGCGCTGCTCTCGGCGGAGGCGGCGAGGAGCGCCGAGGAGGAGGAAGAGGAATGAAAGACGACGTCGCCCCCGTGCCTGCTGGCGGAGCCGCATCAAGTGGGCAGCGACGGCAGAGACCGAGTGGAGGAGAAGACGAAGGGAGGATGGATGTGGAGGAGAGCTCTCAACCTGCATCCCAATATCGGGCGAGGGTCTGGGCCGTCGACGTGCAAGGAGCGTCCGCGCGACCAGCTTCCTGCAGGTCCTGTGGCCTGGTCTTCGAGGCGGGCGAGTTGCGCCTATGTGCGTGGGGCAACCGGACATGCTCGCGCTGGACGTGCCCCACTTGTTTGCAGGGTCGCGTGCCGCAAGGTGCCGAATTCCGACCTCATGGCAAAGGCGATGACACGAGTATCGCCGCGGCGCGTGCGCAGACAGCAGTCGCCGAGCCCCCGGCCAGCAACGCAGGAGGCGCTGGGGGCTCGCGGCCGGCGCCGCCAGAACAGCTTGTCCAACATCCAGCCTGGGACGACAACGTGCTGCCTGGCCGACATTGGTGGGCGAGATTGCCTTGGAACGATTTGTTGACGACCGGAGCCACCACTTACGTGCAGATCCCGGACAGACTACGAGGCGCGGTCCTCCAGGCGAGGCGGAAGACGCTGGAGATACTTCGGAGTGCCCGGGAACACGGGGAAGCGAAGGAGGAGTGGAAATTGGTTTTGGTGCTGGACCTCCTACTCCTCAGCACCAGCAGCGAGGGTGCGACGTGTGCGGAGTTGCTGGAGGAGCAACTTGCGTGGTTCTGGGGGGCGCAGCGGGAGGCACTGTGGACATCCGTGCGCCACGGGCGGAAGATCCCAATGGCTGCCGCCAGGAATGGTGACAAGCTGAAGGCGGCGCGGATCCACACCCTGGCAGCAGCTGGAGAGGAAGGGCGAGCACTACGGGCCACTGCCAACAGCAAACTGGCGCCCCGCACCCCGGAAACGCTGACGAAGATCAAAAAGTGCTTCCCTCCGACGGCTCTGCCCGCGCCGTCGGCGGAAGGTATCCCGCACCCTTCGTCAGAGACACTCGAGAAAGTCCAGGAGGAGACGGCGCGCCTGCTCCGGAAGCCACCCCGCCTCTCAGCGCCGGGGCTTCTAGGCAGCCGCTTGGAGCACTTAGCAGACGCGAAAATGTGTTCCGAGACCCTGGGCTGGCTCACCCAAGCTGTCTCGTGGATCGCCTTTGGCATGCTCCTGGGGGAGGCTATGGGTGTTCTCCGGACCGGGGAGGTCACGGCGCTGCGCAAGGGAGACGACGACGTGCGACCGCTCATCGTGGGATCGACGGTGCGACGCCTGGGTCTGCGAGCGCTGGCGCGGACCTGGAAGGAGCAGCTCCAGGACGCAGCCGGGCACAGGCAGTACGGGGTCGGGAGGTCCGGCGGCACCGAGCTCCTGCTGCGGAAACTGGAGGCGCAGGCAGAAACCAGGCCGACAGCAGTTTTCCTGAAGGTGGACGTGGAGGCCGCCTTTCCCTCGCTGGAACGAGCGCCCGCCATAGCGGCAATGGCGGAGCGAGACGAGGTGGTCGCGACGGCCCTGCTCGCTTGGTACGGACAGCCAGCGAGGCACCTCTGGCGCGACGCCGGGGGGGCTTTTCCACCCGCTTGACAACACGAGGGGCTTCGACCAGGGGGACCCGCTCTCGCCCGCGGCCTACTCCGTGGCGCAGAAAGTAACTCTGGACGGCTTTCAGACCGAGCTGCTCCGCCTGGACCCGCAAGCGAAGCTCTACAGCTACCTGGGCGACACCTACCTGGTGGTAGACGCCGCGCTGGCCGCGCTCGCCTTGGAAGCCTTCCAGCGGGCGCTCCACCCCCTCGGGCTGAAGCTGAAGCTGGCGAAGACGGCCGCCTGGTCCCCAGCCGGGCGCGCCGTGCTCACGCAGGACCTGCAGGCGAGCTGGGTGCCGAGCCTGCCTGTGCTCGGCAAGCACCTGCGGCCTCCGGGAGACGCCGAGAGCAGCGCGCCCGCCGCCCTAGGGGTGCCGGCGAACAGCTTGTCCGAGGCTGGGCGGAAGCTCTGGGGGGAGCTGAAGAAGCTGCAAAAGGCCGGACTCAAGAAGCAGGCAGCGGCAGCCCTCCTGCGCGCTTGCGCGGGCCCGGCGAGCCAGCACTCCTTGCGGATGGAGCTCGCCCAGGACTCCGCGACGCAGCATTACGACGATCTGCTGACGGGCTGCTGGAGGGACCTCCTGGAACGGGACCTCGACGAAGCGGCCGTGGAGCTCCTGGGTCTCCTGGCCAGGTTTGGAGGCCTCGGCGCGTAGCTGGCGGGCACGCGGCGCCACGCGGCCTTCTTCGCCTCCTGGTCAGCCGCGGCGCAGGAGGTCGCAGAGGACCGACGCTGGCTGACTGCCTGGAGCGGCTGCCGCGGGCGGCCCAGCAGCTGGAAACGGCGCGGCGCGGACTGCGGGGCCAGGGGCTCGAGCTCGCGCCGGGGGGCGACTTGGCGACTGCGCTGCAGACGCCCCTGAAGCAAGGCTTGGCCACGGAGAAGGTGCAAAGGACCCAGCGCGCAGCTCTGCTGCGACGCTTGCCCCCTCCCCGACAGGCCGAGCTGCGGGGCGCAGCCGGAAGCGGCAGCGCGGCCTTTCTTGCCTACCCGGAGGACGACCTCTGCTCCCTCGAAAACGCGCTCTGGCAGGCAGGGACGCGGCGGCGGCTGCAGCTTCCGCGCGCCGAGCTCAGCCAGCGGGAGCTAGCGACCGCGCCGGCCGCCTGCTGCCTGCGCGCTGCCGACGGCGCTGGCTGCCACGGGGCACTAGACGACGGCGGTTACCATGCCCTGACCTGCCAGGTGGGCGGGGGCGTGGTGGCGCGACACGGGGGCCTCAACCGGAGGGTCGGGGGTCTCCTCCACCGCTGGCGCGGCGAGCGGCCCCTCGTTGAGCAGAGAGTGCCGACTTGGGACCGCCAGCACCCCGACGGCAGACTCGAGCGCGCGATCCTGGACCTGCAGTACCAGGACGACGACGGCACCCACTGGCTCGACGTCTCCGTCCGCCACCCTGCAGCCGGCACGCAGGCCGAGCTGCGCCTGGCCGCGCGCCGGGACGGCGAGGCCAGCAGGCGCGGCGAGCGGGAGAAGCACGCCCGCTACCCCGGCGACCGGCTGACGCCCTTCGTCCTCGAGGCGGGGGGGCGGCTCGGCGCCGAGGGCCGCCTCTGGCTGCTAGGGCAGGTGCGGCGCTTACCCGAAGACGAGCAGCAACGCGAGCTGGCGCGGGCCTACAAGGTCTTGTCCTGCGGCCTGCAGGCGGCAACAGCGCGCCAGCTCCGGAAGGCGGCCGGCTTGCGCTAGGCGGCGCGCCGCCGGCTAGCGGGCGGAGCCGCCGCGGCGGTGGCAGCAGCGCGGCTCGACACCGCTTAGCGAGGCCGCCGAGCTGACTGACGCGCTGGCGCGGCGGGGCTAGCGCAGA